AAAATAAAATAAAATAAAATAAAATAAAATAAAATAAAATAAAATAAAATAAAAGGAAAAAAACAAAAATTATTTCTGTTGCAATATTTTTCTCTTTTTTCCTTACTACTAGTTTTAGTAGTTTTTCGATCCAGTTTTTAAATGCTGTTTCGCCTTTTTTTATTATTATTTTTTGAATTGTATTTGTAAGGTATATGTATTTTAAGAGGCGTTTTAGTTGCAGCCTTGCTAATGCATTTTTTATTATTATAATTTTATTATTCACATACAGTTTTAACTGGTTAGCAGGGGCTTGTTACCAAGCTTAACGGTTTTGATTACAGAACGGAACGAGTTTTGTCAATGCAGCGATTTTCAACATTTTTTCCTTGTTGGCATTCCGCATTGGCTATACGCATAAGTCATAAAATCCATATCAACATATGGGGAGCTATAGTATAGTGGGCATTAAACCTTTGGCATAGGTTCAGTAGACAAATAAAACACCACTAACTGCTATTCAACTAAAATTTCTAGATTCTATATTAATGGCTCCAGTCCCCCTGATAGGAGCTGCATGAGAGAATACATAAAGTAATAAAAGAACTCAGGTACAAGCCACTCACTCCACACTCTCGAGCAGTGCTTTTAATAATTATGTAGGCTTGAGCAGCAGAGGAAGCAACCCTAGAGCACTACTTTGCTAGTCTACGGCCTTCAGCCAATGAACTCAAGCTTCACTCTATGTCTTAAGCCTGATTGCCCGTGGTCAAAATTCAAAGTAACAATAAAATTCTTCCGTGAAGAGGCTCAGAATTTAAGCTTATAAAAAATAAAAATTTTAATTTAGTTTCTAAATTTCTATTTATTCACAAATTAAACATAATACAGAACATCTAAATACAACAAAATACAATTTTTCAGTATGAAAATATTTTTTTTTATCGATTTCGCCGTCTATTCGTTAATTTACCACAATTGTATATGGCAAGCACAATGCACACAGAAATTATGACACAATAATATAAGAAATGTAAAAAGGGCATTTTTCAGCAGTAAATTTTATTGATTCTAATTGTATTAATTCTCTTTTATTGCTTTTTTTTATGCTTGTGTATATGCCTAAGCAAATAATTCACAAAAATTATAAAAAAAATTTTAGTTGTTATTTGTGAACACTAAAAACTTAACACGAAACTAAGATCAATGTATCCAAAAACGACGTAGAATGACAAGTGACAAAAAATAATAGAAAAAAAAGAAATGCAATATTGCAAGTTGGCACTTTAACAGCATAAATTCTTTTTTTTGGTAATTTTTTATTTCCTTTTTTCGCGTTTACTTTATTATGCATTTTTATTTACCCTTCTTTCCTTACTGCATTCGTCGACCACTTTCAGCATGTGTTTTGGTTCTTAATTTCAGCTTTGTCTTTGTCTTATTTGTTAGTATTTGGTAATATATTTATGCATTTTTGTAATTTTTTTTTCAATATTTACATATAGCAGATTTAGCTGCTTGACTAGAGGCTCGATTTTGCCTTTTTTTTTGTTTTGAAGAGGTTAGAGTATTACAATATTTTATTCGTAGGGATGATTTTTTATTAAATATTATTTATTTTGGTTTTGTTTAATTTTTCATTCATTAAATTTCAATAAATTTTCATCAAATAAAATTCTTCTTTATAAGGCAAAATTCTTTGTGTTTTTAATTGTTTGCTTTCATACTATTATTTTAAATTTTTTTTGTTCCAAATTTTAATAATTTAATTAATTTGTATGTGTTTAAATAATTTTGTGCTATATTATTTTGTTTGTTTATTGTTCAATTTCATATTATTATAATTTATTTATTATTATTTAATTTTATTTTATATTATTTAGATGTACTTTATTTTATTTGATTTTATTTAATGTTTTAATATGGTTTTATATTATTTTATTGCCTTTTATTTTAAAATACTTTATTTTATTTTTACTTTCTTAATTCATTTTTTGTTTTGTTTTATTTTATTTTTTTAAATTTATTTTATTCTGTTTTTGTTTATTTATTTTATTTTATTTTTTTTTTAATTTATATTATTTTGTTATTGTTTATTTCTTTTTATTTATTTCATTTTATTTTAGTCATTTTATTTCAATTTATTCCATTTGATTTAATATCACATTATATATTATTTTGTTTTATTTTTTTATTATAATTAATTGTTTTTTAATATAATTTAAATTTTTTATCTTATTTTATATTTAAGTTAATATTATTGTACTTTATTTGATTTCTTTTATTTTAATTCATTTTATTTTATTTCATCTTGTTTTTGTTTATTTGATTTACTTTTAACTCTTCTTCATTTTATTTTACTTATTTTATTTTATTTCATATTATTTTATTTTATTTCAATTTATATCATTTTATTTAATTTCATATTATATAATATTTTTATTTTATTTTATTATACAAATTTTTGTTTATTCTATTTAATTTTTTATTTAGGTTTTTTTAATTTAATTTGATTATTTATTTTATTTTATATATAATTTAATGTTATTATATTTAATTTATTTTAGTTTATTTTATTTTTTCCTTTCCTTTCTATTTCATTTTATTCTATTTCATTTTATTTTATATGTAATTTTTATTTTATTTTAACTTATTTCAGTTATATAGTTCTATTTTATGTTTCATTTAATGTTTTTAATTCAATTTAGTTTATTTTTGTTTGAGCTTAGTTTATTTTAATCTATATTTTATTGGTTTTTATTTATTTTATTTTATTCTTTAAGATTATTTACTTTCAAATATTTGATTTTACTTTTTAATTTAAATATTTTTTGATTTGACTTTATTTAATTTTATTTTAACTTAACTTTATTTAATTCTTAAATTTATTTGATTCTATTTATGCCTTACAAATTTGTTATTGTCTTTTTTAGTCTTTCTTTGCTTTGTTTTACACGTCCACTGAAGCTTTACATGTTCTGCTCATTTGCCATTTTACAGAGCTTACTTTGCTTTGACTAAATTTTTGTGTAAAATTTTTGTGTTATTCAAATAACTACTAAATTAACATTTTTTTAAATTAATATAAACATTTGATATAGAAAAAATTATTAAGTTATTTGCATAAAAATGTTGTTCTCAGAGTTCCTATTTTACTTTATTTTAATAATTTTTTGGTCTATTCTTTCCACATACCACTTGGCTGGATATTATTACAATAAGCAAAATAAAAATCGCTATGGCAAAAAGGAGGACCTAAAAAAATTGAGATGAATTCTAAAACAAAAAATTAAATTAAAAAGAAAAAACATGTTCGTGCTGTTAAAAATGTTTGTTATTGTATTATTGTAATTATTGTCTTTTCTATGACTCCAAATAATAAAATATAAATTGAAAATAATAAAAAGTTTAACATAAACGTGATTTTTTTAGTCTCAATCCTCGCAAAACCTGTTGCCTTTATGAGTCACTTCAATCCCTGGAACAGGAAAGATGCAGCAGTTGTTAAATCTGGTGAATTTTGTGGCTAATACATAGTTTTGGCGGGTAACCACTTGGTAACACTCGGTGGGTTCGATATGAAAGCCCAACTGTCGCGTGAGCTATTGTATTTTAGTCACCTATATGACATGTATACCGTATGGCGTTGAAGTAGGTGTTAGGCACCAGCTTGTTTAGACCCCCAAAAGAGCCAAATGTGTTACCACTTAAGACCCTATTAACCCCTACTTGCTGGGCAAAATAATGTATGGATTTAGTAAAATAGATCAATCCACGTGTCTTTGTATCCGTTACTTGGCTCTAGTCTTTAAAGGTTTCCGCTCCTAGAGGTCTCTACATACTTCTCTAAAGAATGCAGCACTCGCAAAGGAAGTCTTTTAAGATTTCACCTTCTTCCACTACTCTACTATATAGTAGTCGTTTAATGGAACGTCTTACCTATTATTGTAGATATCTCATTTCATTTTAGCGAAATAAGCTGTATCGACTTTTATTTACTCCATATCACCTACATTGACCTAGGCAGATTGTAACAATTGACACTCTTGCATCTCTTTTAGATTGAACTGACAAGTGGAGTGGTCCGTCAGCTCATTTTCTGGTATATGACTATGTCCCGGCACCCATACTTGAGTCAGAGAGAACTCCTCAATCAGCACGTTTAGGGTTTCGTGACTATTTTCAACCGTTTCCAATTCTATTTTAACAAATTTAAGGATTCTTAGTACTTCCAAGCTTTCCGAGAAGATTTAGATATACGACAAGTCTCATGTATGAGCATCAGTTACGCTTGAGAAACACTACTGTGATCGGGTAGTCTAAGGGACTAGCTAACTCCAAGTTCTTTGGAATGGATTCTATCTTTTAGACATTCATAAAGTTAGTGAAGGTTATGCAGCAACCCCTGCTTTTTGGTAGGCAGAGCCATTTGAACATATTGGTATAATTGCCGTTTGCCAGCTCCTATTCGGAGACCTTCTGTAGTCCTACAAGGTGCATTATGTCCACCCATGATGTCAATGGGAAGTAGATCTCAGATGGCATTCATAGCCCCTGGAATGGGCTTACAAAATCCAATTGGTCCAAGAATTGAAATAGTCACTGTTTGTGGTGTTTTATTGGCAGAGGGAATCATCACTTCATATTTCTTTAAAAGTGAAGACGCCCATAGCGTTACAGCCAATGGAGAACGTCACAGAGCCATGATTAATGACGTTTTCGTACCGAAATCGGAGAGGGTTGATATGGACGATCTTTATTTTTTTATAGAAATTTTTGGTAATCGCATTATTTCGTGTCGCGGGCCTATGGTGTGGCCTCCAAATTGTGGATATATCGGCCTCTCGGCTGGAATTCGTTCTTGAACACCACATTTTTAAAAAATCCTTTTGGAAATCATTAAAATTTTTAGTTTTTTTTCAGAGATATATCTGAAAAAGTTAGCTCAATCATGCTCTTGATATTTCCAATTGCTTCACATTTAATTTATTCCATTTCTATTTTTCTCTACTTTTCTACAGCGCTGTTGTTGTCATACATATACACGTACGCCACGGATCCCAACAGCTCTATCCCTCTAGCGATTTGAAAGTGTTTTTGTAAAAAGCCGTCAAAATTGGTCGCCTAACGAAAACTTCATTTGTACTCAACGACTACAAGGTGAGTGACATTTCGCCAGTACGCCTTACTGATATACAAACAAACGAACATATCTACATTTTCATTGTCGCATTTCTACGCGTCACAACCGTGCGTATGCAATTTTGTGTGTGTTTCGGTGCATTATTTAATGTTAAATTTTTTGAAAAAAAAATTTATATATTTATTTTTATAAATAAAAAAAGCTTGTAAATAATCTATTCTAAGTCTATTGGCGAATTTTGTGCGGTAAGTACGCGGTGTGTTGACTTTTACTTCATTAGAATTTCGTTGAATTGTTGTTACAAATGATTATTTTTTTTTGTTTTGTAACAAAATATTTTCCCAATAACAACCTTGTCCTTTTATCTCAATGCGTAAAATTGTAGAAAAGGTATATAATATATTGTGGGAAGGTAAGTGAGTCGATGAACAAGGTAGCACTCGTTTGTATATATGTACAGTGTATGAACGTAAGTGGTATTTGACGGTGAAATACTTATATGGATTGTGAAGTGCCTGTAACTTCAGTTAGTCGGAAATTAATAGCTTTTGTATTTCTAGAATTTGATCGAAAATTTGAAAAAAAATATTTTATTTTTTCTTTGCGTAAATAAGCACATTTTGTGGTAAGCGTTGGTTTGAGGTTATGTAGCAGCAAAGAAATGTGTGTAAATAAGGGCGAATGAATAAGTGAAGAAAGGAGGAAAATTTAAGAGAATTCTGTTTTATATTTTACTTTGTCAAAAACTGATTTCTTATAATTTTATCATTCACAAAGCGAAGTCTGAGAGGCCTGAGAGGCATTTGCCATCAGCAAAATAATACAATTTTTGCTCTACCTAATGAAATAATTTTCGATTTTTTATTTATAAAATCAACTTTTACAATTCTAGGAAAATAGCCTGTAATCTTTTGTTAAATACCAATCAGTAGGTAATTTCATGTCTACCAAAATTATATTAAAAGGCGTGTAAAAGCGACAAAGAGCTTCAATGACTTGCTGAAAATTTGTAATGTTTGCTTTTTTATCGCGTGTGCCAACCTTTGAGCGATTCCAAGAAGCTTTTAGGACGCTGGGTAATTTTAAGATCATTAAATGTAATATTACATAGCATTACATTACGTTATAATGTAATATAAAATGAAATAATAAAATAAATCAAAAAAAAAATAAAACAAAACAAAATAAAACAAAATAAAATAAAATAAAATAAAATAAAATAAAATAAAATAAAATAAAATAAAATAAAATAAAATAAAATTAAATAAAATAAAATGAACTACAATAAAATAAAATGAAATAAAGTGAAATAAAATAAATAAAAATAATATAACATAAAATAAAACAAATTTATTAAAATAAAACAGATAAGAAAAAAAAAAAATAAAGTAAAATAAAAAGAAATAAATAAAATATGAAATGAAATAGAATGAAATATAATAAAAAAATGTAAAATGAAATGAAATAACTGAGGGTAACATAAAATAAAATAAGATAAAAAAGAATTAATTAAATGAAATACAAAATCGACTAAATTGGATTTTTTATATCAAGAGATAATTAGTTTCTTTCTTCACAACTTCAGGCTTAATATAATTTTTTTATTTATTTTTATTTGTAGGAAAAATTCGAAGAAAAGCTATACTTTTTTATACAATTCCTAAGTATTTCCGTCAACAAATCACTGCTCACAAAGCGTGCCTTTGTACACCACGGCACACTAGAACTCTTGAGGTAGTTAATTGTCTAACAATTCATCATAATCACTTCGTACACATTTATTTAAACGGTAATTAAGGAAATAAACATTGAGAGACAACATTTTGCAGCAACATGTGTCTAAACATTTCTCAAAGTCTGATGATGGTGATCATTTACAACTGGTTGTATGATTAATGTCTTTTTAGTTTTTTGATTGATTTTTTAAATTTTAATTTTTTTCCTTTTTCTTAAATGTTGCTGTGTAACGATTTCACACGTGACTCTAACAACACATTTCTTTTTAAGCGAGACACATGTGCTGAATGAACAATAACTCGAATAAAAGATGCAGAAACTTCTAATATTGCATTACATAGTAATTTTTTATGCATATTAAAGATATAAGTAAATGCTACTTAATTGAGTTTTATGAGCAAAGTGAACTTTGATGGTGTTGTTTTTTTTTAATTACAAATGTAAGTATGCAAATATGTCAGTACTTTGTGCCCATGTATGCATATGTTGTATTACCATTAAGCTTTGAAGCTATAAAATACTATTTTATACAACTTCATTAGATGACAATGCTCGTCTATACACATATATACGTATGTATGTACATATATATATAAGTATTCGCCAGCTTCTCTACATTTATGTATATGCCGATGCATTGATTTTGTGCGCAGCTGATTGGTAAATGATTGTTTGTGTCTATATATATATATGTAGGTATGCATGTACAAGTATTTTTTATTAACGATCGTGACGAACTCTTCTCGGTGGCAAGTTTGTCTTTACACTCTAATAGCCTGACAACAGCAGATAAAAATGCAACCTTAACCTTGAATCATGAAGCACGTCCAATGACCATAACAGCGGTAATGATACAAGTGTAACTATATTATGTTTTTATGCATAAACAAACACACATTAATGACGGACTATTAGAGTGTGAGCGCTTTTTGGTTCGATTTTTTGAATTTTTTGTATGTTTTATTTTATATTATTTATTTTAAATTTCTTAAACAATTTTTAATTATAATTATTTAATTTTTTTTTAGGTTAATAAAATTTGTTTTTGATTTTTATAAATTTTCTAGTATTGACTTTTTTAAATTTCTTAAATTTTTTTAATTCTTGTAACCTTTTTAATATTTTTTAATTTCTTTAACATTTTTTGGTGTATGTTTATTTTTATTATGTGTTTTTTTTTAATTAAATTTAATTAATTCATTCATTTTATGTTTTTTATTTAATTTTAACATATTTTGAATGTCGTTTATTTAATTTTTAAATATTTTTTTTTGATTTTTTTTAACTTTCATACACATTCCTTGTATTATGAATGTGTGTTTATTTTATTTGTTTATTTACTTTTTTATTTTTTTTTTCTAATATTAAAATTTGTTTATACGATTTTAGGATTTTTTTCTAATATTTAACATTTAACAAACGATGCTCATGATTTTTTTAAATTTCAAAATTTTTTGGTATTTAAATTATTTTCTATATTTTTATTTAATTTTTTTAAGTTTTCATAAATTTTCTTTTTATTTTCTTATTTAAGTTTTAGAATTTTATAAGATTTTTTTATTTTTATGAACTTCCTTATTGCTTTTTTAACATTTTTTAGTGTATTTTTTATTTTCTTTAATTTATTTTTTTATTTATTTATTTTTTGTTAGTATTGAATTTTGCTTATTTGTCTTTAAATTGCCTTTTTTTATTTTATTTTTAGCATTTTCGAGTACTGAATTTGAATTTTTGTTAGTTTTATTTAGATTTTAATATTTTTTAATATTTTTCGGTGTATGCTTATTTTATTTATTTTATTTTTTCTTCAATATTTAAGTTGGTTTATTTGATTAGAAGCTTTGTTTTTTATTGTTTAATTCATTTTTAACTTTTTTTGAATGTATTTAATTTTATTTAATTCATTTTGACTTTTTTTTATTTTTTAAATTATTTACATTTTTATAAATATTTTTGTATTGATTTTTTTCAATTTATTAAGGTTCATAAATTTTTTAAATCTGTGCTTAAAATATTTGTAACATTTTTTAAATTTATTTAGTTTCGGTTTTATTTCATTTTTTTATTTATTCCTTCAATTTTTTGAATTTTGTTTATTTAACTTTAATTTTGTGGTTCTTAAGCACGATGCTTTTAAGATCTAAATATTTATTGCTTGCTTTGACACATTTACGTGTATGTATATATGTACATATAAAATAATGCCAACAAACGTGATTTAATGTGTTAAATATTTTCTGACTTAACAGCACTTAACAATTTTTAATTAGCGCGAAAATTTCAAAATACGAGTATATATATAGAATATATGTACACGCTACTGTAGTGTAAATAAAAAATCAATTCAAATTTCGGCATTTAAATGGATTTTATTTGTACGTGCCAAGTACCGTTTGACTTGGTTAGAGTGCGAGTATTAATGAACTTGATTGTGGCATATTAAAAGCATAGATAGGGCTCATTAGGCCGGAACCTTCATATTAGAAGCGGAGGTAATAGTTTTTTGATGGTTAAAAACTTGAAAAAATTATAAGACAAAATTGAGAAAAATACTCATTACTTTTAATAGGCTTACCTTGGATTGTAGATAATGTTAACGCAGAAAAAAAAATGAAATAAAAATAAAACATTACACTTATCTTGGTATAAGTAGGACTTTAAGTATGCGAGAAAGATCTGAGCTTGGAAATAATACAACCAATTGAAAATTGTTACTGCACTTCATCATGACCTACATTTTTGAGCTAACAAGCACTTAACTATTGTAGATCTAAACTTTTGATCTCCTTCCTCACATTTCCAAATAAATATTTAAAGAGAAAAAACATCCATGAGCTCAAATATTCGCTATAGAAACAAAAACTACCCAAGCAAACGTTCACAGGCGTATTATGAGGCCTGCACTTTAAACAGAAAAATTTATATTAGTTCATGTCTCTTATTATAAATATGTGAATAATGGATGCTTAAAGGTATCTGAAGTGGAGATCTTAACTCTCTTGCTTTAGCAGAAGCTGTCGCTCCTCGGCACGTAATGTGGAAATTAGTAAAAAATGTTTGAGTAAATTTCTGATACGAAATAAAAAATCTCTTTTCCCACACAAATCCATGAGCCGTACGGAGGCGCTCATGCTTCAGCGCTTAAAATGTGCCATATATATATAAGCATTTTATTGAGAGAAAGAAAGAGAGATTAGATTACAAAGATTTCATGTCTTTTTTGGGAAATTCCAACTTTCCATAAGTCATTTACGAGAGCACCAAGAACCTCTGTTTATTC